ATTTTTATTATTTTTTCTTTTTTATCTTGTTCAATCGTCGTCGAGCACCGGTACCGCCTCGAATCCAATAATAAGGCTCTGAGAATGCCGATGCCGTTCCTCGAGGAAAATACCTCTCGTGCTCAACTTCCGCGTGTTCCCACGTTAACTTTTCAGGATTCGAAGCGATGAGGAATATCTTAAACTCTAAATTCACACTCATATCGCCCCACGTCTAATACATTACACGGTTTTTTAAAGACAATCAAACGAAGAGGGTAAAAGTATCCTCCATCAGGTTTCTATCTATCGAGCAATTGTGCGGAATGTACCAATAAAGTTGATTGCGCGATGGCTTCCGGTTTCTTTCTCGTCCTTAGTTAGTAGCGAGGGTTCGAGTTACATTTCTAAATTAAAAACCATCAGAATGGTCGGGATGATCCATGGCTAAATGTATTCAATCACAATCAACGGAGACGAATGCATTAGAACACTCTTGAAATTGAATTTTTCAGAATATATCAAAGGCTTTTGTACCTTGGACTTTTAATTGGATGACTTTTGACGTCTTCTTTAAGAATTGTATTGGTTCATCTTCGTATGTATTTTTATTTATGTTTTATCGAGCCACAAGAATTTTTCTATGTAGTAATAATTAATTTTTGTGAAACAGTTGATCATTTCTTAAATTATTCTTCTTGTGGCACATCAAACGTCTCTTTAGATTGGAATTCTAAAAATTGTGGAAGGTTTAACTTTTTTTATAAGGTGAACTATTAGACTTATCAATTTAAAATATACGTATTTTTAGTTAGATTTTATCGAGCCACAAGTTACTTTTCCAAATAGTAATAATGGATCTTGTTTAAACAGTTACTTATTTTTTAAATTCCTTCTCCAATCCGTGGCCAGATCGTTCTAGAACATTATATCATTTGTTCAATTCAATATGGTTAATTACCAATTATGGTAATACTACGTCGGGTTGCTTGCTCTGTTTACGTGTTACCAATGGTAACTCATCGGTCATGCGATACTCGTTTTTGGAGCGACCTCGCTTTGAAGCCTCATCGCGCGCTCGGTCCTCCCTGCCGTCTTGAATCCTCGAAAGCCCATCGCCTGCCAAACAGCACCAGATCAGCTGCCCGAACAATCAATATATTGACCGGACGCTAACATACAGTTGAACATATCAATCACTAACTTTGATGAGTATTACTGATTTTTTTTACTTGCTACAAAAATTCTCCGAGCGAAGGCTAATTTGGATTCACGATATCAATTTTAATGCCTGTGCAATCTTTGCACAGGACTACAGGCGTTCGTAACTAACGAAGTCGACGATATTCGATTATATCGTTGACATCGTTCACAATTGCATCAAAGCAATCGAAGAAAATTCCTAAACTAATATTGAAATTCGATACGGAAGGACAAAGAGAATGTGAATCAACTTCTTTGTAATTTCTATGGCAAGCCAAGTTGAATTAATCGCCTGGGTTAATTTCAGAACATGAAAGGAAATTGAAGGAGAGACACGATAGGATAAACCTACGTCTAATTTGCGTTCCTGCGCGGCTCGAATTAATTAAAATAATTAACTTTGAAGTCTCCTTCATAGTTAAAAGGCGTATTTTACAAGTAATTTCCGAACTTCAATGCACACAGTTGTAATAAATATTTCAAGATCCGTGTATAGGGAGCTTAGAATAATTTAAAAAATAAGTAACTGTTTAAACAAGATCCATTATTACTACTTGGAAAAGTAACTTGTGGCTCGATAAAATCTAACTAAAAATACGTATATTTTAAATTGATGAGTCTAATAGTTCACCTTATAAAAAAAGTTAAACCTTCCACAATTTTTAGAATTCCAATCTAAAGAGACGTTTGATGTGCCACAAGAAGAATAATTTAAGAAATGATCAACTGTTTCACAAAAATTAATTATTACTACATAGAAAAATTCTTGTGGCTCGATAAAACATAAATAAAAATACATACGAAGATGAACCAATACAATTCTTAAAGAAGACGTCAAAAGTCATCCAATTAAAAGTCCAAGGTACAAAAGCCTTTGATATATTCTGAAAAATTCAATTTCAAGAGTGTTCTAATGCATTCGTCTCCGTTGATTGTGATTGAATACATTTAGCCATGGATCATCCCGACCATTCTGATGGTTTTTAATTTAGAAATGTAACTCGAACCCTCGCTACTAACTAAGGACGAGAAAGAAACCGGAAGCCATCGCGCAATCAACTTTATTGGTACATTCCGCACAATTGCTCGATAGATAGAAACCTGATGGAGGATACTTTTACCCTCTTCGTTTGATTGTCTTTAAAAAACCGTGTAATGTATTAGACGTGGGGCGATATGAGTGTGAATTTAGAGTTTAAGATATTCCTCATCGCTTCGAATCCTGAAAAGTTAACGTGGGAACACGCGGAAGTTGAGCACGAGAGGTATTTTCCTCGAGGAACGGCATCGGCATTCTCAGAGCCTTATTATTGGATTCGAGGCGGTACCGGTGCTCGACGACGATTGAACAAGATAAAAAAGAAAAAATAATAAAAATGTGAAGTCTGGAGGAATGATAAAGCCGAGAATGTTCAAGCATTGTTCAAGACGGATCACGTAATTCGATCACCTTTATTATTGGATTATTTCGAGCTAAATCTTACGAGCTACAATTCTAGTTGGACCATCTATATATTAACCCTTTGCACTTGTGAGGCGACTATCTTTCTATATGGTACTTTTCGTTGAACCTCAAATATAATAATAGTATGTGTATTACGGTTGTTAGAAATTAAATTTCAGCACACGTTGCATAAAAACCTTCTTTTTGGTGAAAGAAAACGAAGAAAAATTTGTTTATTCATCATCGAAATTCATTTTGCGATGAAATCACAGTTTTTTTTTTTAAATTGTTTCGTGAAGTCTGCATAGTTAAGGAAAAAAAACATAGAAATGATTTTGTAGAAAACTAAATTCTCTACCAAAATGTTTTATCCATTTTTTCTAAAAAAAAAAAAAAAAAACTTTCGTATATCTTGTCTAGTAAGCATTGTAAGGATTACGCAGGCTTTATTTATATATCTTCCCAAACACACATTTAAAAAAAAAAAGAATGAATAGAACATTTTTCATAGAGAATTTAATTTTCTACAAAACCATTTGCATGGTTTTTTCCTTAATTCTGCATATTGCGTGAGATATTACCAAACAACTGCGATTTTATCGAAAACTAAACTTCCATCGTCCGGCGGTACGTGTTCTTTTAATTTCTTTCTAACGAGCAAAATTGTCCAAATTTTGTTTACCACAAACAGAAGTTTTTCATGGGGTGTCTGCGAGAATTTAAGTTTGAACGACCATCCTAATACTTTTATCTATAATAAGTATGCGTTAGCTATCAGTTGTTTTAGTATCAATCGGCTAAACTACATTAAGAGTGAGTGAATGATTTTTTTTTAGTAGAATGTGAAATCATATAACATGTCTATAACATCTAATGTACAAATTTTGCAATTGTTCGTCTTTTACCTTGATTTCATTTGTTTACATTACTTCAGATACCTCTTTTCGTAATTCTCCTATTAGTCAGTAGTCTATTGGATTGACCACTGGTCCCTGTACCTACAAATAAACATAGAAAATAGCTACAACCCATGAGGATAATTATATTAAGAGACTAACATAAGTACTCAGTATTTTTCGGGATATTTTTTTACAGAGAAGAATTTATTCAGTGGTTTTTTTTTTTAACTTGTATTCTATTAGTGGCTAGTTTATGATACGTATATTAAGCACTCTACCACAAGTCCAGAAGTCAATCCAATTATGGGCAGAACTCCAAGGAAGATTGAAAAAGTATCACATTACATCTAAACTGATATTATTATAAAAGAAAAAATATCAGAAATATGGAATTCCATTGACTGTACTGTAAAGAATAGTGTATAATATGGAACGACGAGTCAAACAAGTTACCAATACCAAAGGCGGTGCAACAAAATATTAACATGTAATACTGTAGAATAACACTATGTGCAGCGTTCGAATGTGCTTTTGTCTACTACTCGTGGTACCTCATTTTAATAACCATTATGTAAATACTGTGTACACTTGTGAATTAATTTTTAATTTTTAATTATTAATTTTAGTATCGAAATCTTCAAGATTTTCCTTACTATGCACATTATATTGTAACACACTTTAGCTTAACATATATATTTAATATTTTCGTTGGCCACTGTACATATTGTTTACTAATAAAACGAAAGAGAAGTTAATATTTTCGTTAATGAAGGTTGGTCAAAGTTGCGAAAAGTTCAGACGTTACTGCTCATAAACATAAGCGAGATGAAACAACGTAAGATAACATGTTTCGAAATCCGTACTTAATTCAGGAACAACCCCATGTTATCAGGGAAGTTAAAAATTTATATGCGTCGAATACTTTCCATTATATAAAATGTTAAACATTACTCGATTTTTAGAATTTCAATGTTGACAGACCCGTTATGTGCCCCAAGAAGTATAATTTAAAAATATGATTGACTGGTGAATAAAATCAATTTTTTCTATCTGGAAAATTTCTCGTAGCTCGATAAAACATAAGTAAAAATACATATAACATTTAAAATTCTCAAGACCAATAGTTTTCTTTAGAAAAAAATACATGATATCGCGTCCCGCTTTTAGAGTGCCAAAGTTGGCCGACTCTTGGATTGTAGCATCGGGTCGAATGTAATCGAATGAGAGTAGCGTAATATGAGTATATTTGCGAACTCCTGCAATCGTGTGCTTACTAGAGTTCTAAAGTAAGGAGATTGAACTTAGGACTCAGAGTTCGAGTAATAAGATTCGTGTCCCGAAGTGTTACTTCGTACTACTTGCGGAACACTATATTGCACTGGAATCCTAACGTGATCGGAAACTTGATTAATGTCTATGTAATAATGGATACGTGTTTCAAAGTTTTATTTAAAATTACTACAATAATTATTTTTAACTTTCTAGTGTCGTGAAAGTGTAATAAAAATTTTAAATATCCTAATAATACGAATAAAATGTTCAAATCAGGGAAAAGTATGATACACATTACTGGAAAATCGGGAATTATAAACGCGCTGCACGTGGTACACCCATGGCGCTCTCCCATCTTCCAGACGTCTGCAAACTCTCCCTTTCTTCAAGACATAGTTCGTAAAATACTGCTTCGTCTCGCTGTTACGAACGTTGTCCATTAAGATTTTTCGCACCTGTTCCAACTGCTTGGCCTTCATCTGTGGCATCAAAATCCAATCAGCTTCGGTGATATCTACCGGATAAACGTCAATCGTTGGCATCGGCTTGCGACTCAAAGCATTCACATGCTGCATCGCTGAACTTGGCCGATACTCGATATCAAACCTGAAATCTTGTACCTTTAGCCACCACCGCCCAATCCTGGGAATCAAATCCTTCGTAAACGTTGTTCTCAATGCGTTGCAATCCTTAACGACCCTAAAACGTATCCCGATCAGATAGACTCGAAAATACCGTAACGCGAGTACAAGTTCCCAATTCATATGAATGATAATTACGTTGGTCGTCTTTTTTGGAATGGTTGGAAAATCTTTGTAATTATAGATAAACACTAAGAGATAATAAATCCGCACAAGAAACAATTATTTATATTTCTTGAAGATGGACACAAAAATGAAACGGTAACTGGTAAAACAAAAGAAACAATCTAGAGCTGTCTATTCTCGCACTTTCGCACAGATCAGATATCGCTATCCGTTGACTCCTTCGTCGCTCACGCACACATATGGACAACATACACACACACATCCATCCATTTATTCTCGCATTATAGAATGCCAATACATATATTTTCAACACGTTTGCTTACTAAAATACCCGACTACCTGACGCGTCCCGTAGATCGAGTACTGGAACAATATCGCCCCTAATCCCAAGGAACTGCCGTTCATATCCATTTCAGTTCGCTTCGAGCTATCGAAAATAGCCAGAATCGGTTTCGTCGTTAGGATTCGCTTCACTGTCCGCACAACTTCTTTCTGCTTCCTGCCCTAGGCCACATTTTTTTTCGTCAAAATCGTCGAGAGTGTGGCCAGGCTTGCGTATCCCTTCATACATATCCTGAAGTATCCTGCAAGGCCAAAGAACTGTCGAACTTCCTTCACATCCCTAGGCTCTGGCACGTTAAGAATTGCATTGATATTACATTCTCTGGGTTTAACCCCTGCTTAATTCCCGTCAGAGTGAATTTATGTTCGTTTTCAGAAACGAATACTTATATAACTTTTTAGTACCCTATATGTATCAATGCGAATCTGCCCTGAATCATGGGCGGTCGTTGACTGTCCTGCAGCTAGTGACCGCGCTTTAGCCTCGGCAACACGGGACTCGGCCTAACGCTCCCGCTAATGCGTCCATGTTCTCCTCCTTATCGACCATTGCACACCAGCGCTAACCTAACCTTATACCACGAATTCAAACGCGCCACGAGCGGCCCGCGGAGGAAATAGGTGGGCGCGCAGTCCCGATCTGCGCAGCAATACAAAATGGTGGCGACTACACGTTGCTCACGTGGTCTCAACACGCAATATCGCGAAATCGTACGAAAAAGGCAGGAGAAGAACGTCTACACGTTAATTATAACAATAACAACAAAACTTGACTTTATTCGAAATGGACGCTCTGGCCGCTTCTCGCAAAGCAGAACATGGCCGCTTCTCGCAAAGCAGAACATGGCCGCTTCTCGCAAAGCAGAACATGGCCGCTTCCCCCACTCTTGCATATCGAGTAAGAGGGAAGAGAGAGATGGGAATACGTGATCCCCACATGAATATATCAGAACGATTAAAAACAAATGACATACATACATATCATAAAAGATAGTACTTCAGACATATTTATAAAAAAAGTTTGGTGACGATACGTAAATTTTTTTCGGTGCTATATCTCTTTGAATATGGAAGAAAATAAAGTGCATTTTAGGCATTTAATACTTTTCTATTATCGGAAAGGTACGAATGCTACACAACCGGCTAATAAGATATGTGTTGTTTATGGCGAAGGTGCTGTAGCTGAAAGAATGGCACGGAAGTGGTTTGCAAAATTTAAAATGGTAACCTTAACCTTAAAGACGAAGTGCGCTCGGGTAGGCCCTCCACCACAGATAAAGATCAAATCAAAACATTGGTTGAGAATAATCCTCACTATACAACACGTAATCTCGCAGAAATGTTAAATTTGTCAAAATCCACCATCCATGAGCACGTTTTGAAAGCTTGGATACATAAACCGTTCCGACGTATGGGTGCCCCATGAGTTAACGGAAAAAAATCTAATGGATCGCATTTCCATTTACGACTCGCTGTGCAAACGCAACGAAGAGACACCATTTTTGAAACGAGTAGTAACGGGAGATGAAAAATGTATTATTTATAACAATGTTGAGCGAAAACGATCTTAGAGAAAACGAAATGAACCACCTTTAGCCACCCCAAAAGCCGGTCTTCATCCCAGGAAGGTCATGCTCTCTGTCTGGTGGGATTGGAAAGGAATTCTTTATTATGAGCTTTTACCCAACAACGAGACGATAAATTTAGAGAAATATTGTTCCCAGACCTCGCACCCTCAGATTTCCATCTGTTTAGGTCATTACAAAATTCCCTTAATGGAAAAAACTTTAACACCTTAGATGACATAAAAAATCATGTTAAGAAGTTCTTCCTGAGAACTTACTATCCTTTTTTAACAAATTTGTTAATGGTCGAGCAATAATTGAGTAACCATAAATGAATTTTCTGATATATCCTGTCAGACCTAAAAAACTTTGTACATCTTTTACACATTGGGGTTTCGAAAATTTAACTACAGCTTTAATTTTATGTTCGGACGGCCGAACGCATCCGTTTTCAATTATATGCCCCAAATATTCAACTCGTGTTTTTAAAAGTTACATTTACTCCAATTTATTAACAACCCATATTGGCCAGCAACATTCGATACAGTTTTAAGATTCTTAATTGCATTATCTACATCGCTAGCTAAAAATATTATATCATCTAAATATGTTCGGGCAATACCCGCTGCTATGACTTCTCTAAATACTGCGTATATAAACTTTTGAAATACGCCTGGTGAGTTACACAATCCGAAAGGTACTTTTAAAAATTCATAGTGACCATTTGGTACGACAAACGCAGTATACTTGCGACTGGTCTCCTCAACCGGCACATCAAAGAAACTGTTTCTCAAATCTAAAGTACTGAAAATTGTTGCACCTTGCAAAGAATCTAATCCGTCCTCTATTAACGGTAAGGGATACCTATCTTTTATAATCTTTTTATTTAAAAGCCTATAGTCTACGCAAATTCTAGTTAAACCGTTTTTTTTCTTCAGTAAAACTATTGGACTCGCATAGTCTGAATGCGACGGTTGCACAATTCCTTCCTCCACTCATACAGCTATTTGCTTCTCAACCTCGATTTTTTCCTCAGCGGACAATCTACGCAGTCTTTGGTATACGGGAACGTCATCGCTCAGGATGATATTCATTATAACTCCTACTTCGCGCGTTTTATGCGGCTCATATTTATCAACCAAATCTTTAATTACTTCTCTATGCTCAATAGAAACATGCGGTACATCTATTTCACTCGTATCATCGACACTAATATTAAAAACTTCCGGTACATCTAGCTTCCTAATTGAAATTTCTCCCCCTTTCATGGTGAATATTACAGAGTCTAGAAAATCTGTCCCTATTATCAAACCATGCGGTATCAATGCATCAGGCACAACATGTACATTTATGGAATAAATTGTATCATCTATTGAAATATCTGTTAAAAATTCACCCATTGTATAATTTCTTTTTGTACCTACACCGCAGAATTGCAAAATTCTATTATTTAGTTTAGGCGCTTCAATTTTAATGTAACGATCCGCTCGCATTAAATTTAAATCGCTACCAGAATCAATTAATGCTACCAACTTACAACGCTCGATCTGCACCTCCTTAACACGCTTTTTCCGTGATTCCTCTGACGTACTATTCACATTTTTTACAAGATTTTTTACACCACTACATTTAGGCGCAATGTGACCATACTCTTTACATTTGAAACATATAGCACCTTCACTCTTCGTTGGGAAATTCGCACTTAAATGATTTCGATCTCCACACAAGAAACACCTTTTTATATTTTCCTGTGCAACTCCACGGGTTGTTTTCTTCACCTTTTCTTCGGTCCGTCGGCTCTTCGTTCTTGAGTTCTCCCTCATTGTCTCGTACGGCTCGAATTTTTCCTTCAATTCACGGATACTCTTTGCTCCATATAATATCATTTTCTTTGATTCTTCGTCTTGTACTCCATCGATAATATATTTGATGACAGCTGAAACTTCCATATTTGCCTGTTTGGCTATCTCCAACATGTGATATACATATTCCTGGTATGTTTCATTGGACTTTTTGGTTCTTTGAGACAATTCTTTATGAATTTTGTGTACGTCCACGACATGCGAAAACTCTGATTTCAACGCACGCTTCATTTCAGACCATCTGCGACAACACTTTTCGTAATTGACGAACATTTTTGCCGATCCACGAAGCAATCTTTTCGCATATATATATCACTTTCTGCACATCACTCCATTCGCATAATTCTGTCATATCCTCGAACTCTTGCAGCCAACAACGAATACTCTCTTTATGGTCGCCGCTGAAGGTATTTAAAGACTCCTCAACATCTTTGAACGTCAAAACTTGCATGCGTCTTGTGCATTCTTCAACAAAATTTCGATTACGTTCGTCTTCGTCTTCATCATTTTCATTTTCATCCTCATCTTCACCATGGTCGATTTCGAATGTCAACGCTGCCCTTAGACGATCTTGCAGTTCCTTTTGGTTTCCACTCGTCCTTAGTTTCCGTTTCTTCAATTCTTCTTTTAATTCAACTATCTTCTTTAAGTCTACACCCTTCAACTTCTCACTACCTAAGCTGCCCTGCAGTGTGATATCAATTATCGTATCATTTCCTGCATCTGACATCTTGACTTTGAAATTGAACTCTCTTCACAATTTGTTCAACTCAACACGATCTATTCAACTCAACACAGTTCAACACACTTTGTTCAACACAGATGACACAGTAATTTTTGCTATTCGACCCTCGCATTCTTTCACCACGCAAACTTCCCGTTACGGGCCCGCTGGCCCGTGGGTTTTTCCCATCCCTCGCTTTCATTCGGAACGGCTCCGTGCGACTTTCCCGATACTACATATCTAATAATTTATCGAATGAATTTATTGACATTCGTTAATATCTAAAAAAACTTGTCCTTAAAATAGCGCATGTTAGCAAAAAAATTGTTAAATCTATTATTAGATTCTCGCTTCAAAAAAAAAAAAAAAAAAAAAAAATTGATGAATCCAATAATTACGAACCATCGATTCACGTAACAACCCTTCTGCTTCCATAACACAAGCAATTTTCAAAAATTTATTCGTGCTCATGTTATCGTTTTGATAGTTCAGGCGAGACTGCGTTTAAAACGCATAGTGTGGCTCCGGCCTTATCTTGAACCGTGATTGTTGTTAATATTTAATCGAAGACTGAATGTTACTGTATGCATTATAAATATTTAATTAATTCAAACATATTCATCTCGAAGTTCAAGTTTATTTTATATACCTACGTTTTATGTGAAAGTAGTATTCCCAATCACGAAAAGTATTAATAAATTTTATTAGTTGTATGTATTATTCTCAAGAGACAAATCAATATAACAAAATTGCTACTACGAAAGAATTAAATATATTTATTACTTTGTGTAATGTATAATTCAAAGAGCCATCATTTAATGTATTAGGTTGTCCCGAAAATTTCTTTCGCGAGTTGCACTCAATTATTTTATGTAGTCGTGTTTCTATAAATAGACAATCTAATTTCATAGATATTCATGTTGTAACAGTAATGGGGCAAAATGAATCGTGCACAATTCAGTAATGTAACATAAAACATAAAATATTGTGCATGTATTATTTATTAATAGAGCGAAAGAAACTTTTAGGGCAACCTAATATTTCTCTCCTCAATGTGCATCATTGTCAAGACCAACTGACATCGGTTCTTCATTAAAACGTTTTTTCTCGTTTGACAGAGTAATCGATAAAGGGATTCACTTTCTAAAATTGATTGTTCTTTACAATTACATGCACATTACAAATTTGGGAAACAAATTATGCAGTAATTAAGATTTACAGGTTCATAGTCGTAAATTTAAATTATATGTGAGTATATGTGTGAAAATTTACTGGCGAGCAATAACTAACGATAATTAAGAAGGTGCGACATATTTATGACTCCAAATTTATCGGTCGATTACT